GTTCAGTTCCCACCCCTGCAGGAGAAAGCAGCAGGGCTTGGAGCTGTGTTTCCCTGCCTATAAACACACCACAGCCCCCTTTCCCACAACAAATCCACTGGGTGAGAGTCCCTGCCCTGTCCCTGAGGTTAGGGTACAGGATGTTAGCCTATAATTCCATTTCTAAAGCCTGTCCCTTGTTTTGTGTGTGTGCTCATGATTATTTTCTTCCAAGGAGCTCTCCCCAAACCAGGACATTCAGCAGGGACAACCCACAGACAGCCAGGAGTCCTAGCCCAGCATGTGGCCCGGTCACCCTGCGCATTCCTCTGCAGACTGGCAGGCTGACGGTGGGAGGCGGGTCCCAGGGCTTCCCAGCATGCAGCCCTTTGCGTGCGAAGTCTGATTGCTGTGCCGCCCCGCTCAGGTCAACAGCTGCCTGAGGATCCGCTCTGGCGCCTGGCCCGGCGCCACTGCCGCGGGGACTCGGCACCGCCCGGGAACGTGCGCCGGGCAAGCAGCCAGGCTCACCTGGCTCTGGGCGGTGCTGGGCTCACCTGGGGCGTTCAGCAGAGAGAGGACAGGAGATCTTGGGAATCAGGACACAGGTGGTTCAGGGTGATCCTCAGGCCCAAGAAAGACCAAGGGTGGGTAGGTAAAGTGCACGTGAGCGTGTTATACACACTCCAGATGGGTGGCTGCCGCGCTATGCAAATCGTCCTCCAGAGGGAAGCAAGACAGCCTCCAGCCCCATTTTGCTTTTAGCTCTCATGGTGTCCGCCGAGGAAGGTCCCGCGCGTGCGGGATGGGGCCCTACAGAAGGAACTGCTGCAGGTGAGGGCGTTGGGGTGGGGGTGCTTTCTGCACGCTTTGTGCCTGCGCACAATGAGGACCACTGTGTGTGTGCCCCGCTCCGCTCCACACAGGCTACAAGACTCCTGGGGCTTCATGTTCCTCATGATGCTGGACTCTGAGTGCCCATGGAAACTGTGGGAAAGGTGTTTAACCTACACGATGGCCCCAAGGATGAGAACATCTCCCCTAAGGATGCCATGGAAGACCCAGAGCTAACACCTACCCCACCTCCCGACTGGCAAACCAGCCACCTGGAAAGAGGGGCTGCTGAGGGCACAGCCTGGAGGGAATCGGTTGTTTGTGCCATCAGCTGGGGCCTGGGGCCCCGACGGGCAGTGCTGTCAATGCCAAGCAGCTGAAGGAAAACATTGACAAATATCTGATTCTGAATCAAGAAGGAAACCAAAACCTGGGGCTTTCTATGAAACAGCTTACCTCTTTCAACCATAAAGTTGAGAAAATAGAAATCAAAATTCAATTTGATCCTGAGGATTGGCTGAATTTCCCCAGCTTTTCTAAAGAACACTGGAGCTGGAGCATTGGTCGAGAAGAAATAGGACCCAGAGACAGAAGCTGGAGACATCTGGGAAGATTTGGAAACATCAGGGGCCCCTGAGTCATCAACTCTCCAAGAGCCTCCTCTGCCCCTGGAAAGCCCTCTTTTCCTGTCCTGGGAAGCACTTTGCGAAGACACGGTGACTCCTCTGCCTTGTCTGCAGGAGCCGGGCTGCAACAGCACTTCAGGTTCCCATGCATGCTTGCCCCTCCCCCATGATGCGCAGGCCCAATGCGGTTCTATCCCAGCCTTCTGCAGCACAAAGCATCCCATGAGCATACCATCACTATCCAAGATCCCCAGGGCTGGGTACTAGATAAAAACAGAGCTTTACATACCCCATGCTTTTGGAGGCTAATAGTGGAAGGTTAGGAACCCCCACAGGTTCAGCCTCTTGGGAGAGGTATCAGTTGGTGTCATGATGACAGAGATAACATGGTCATATAGGAAGGCGGAGTGCAGGGAAGGGCCAGGCTCACTCTTCCATGACAACCCTGTCTCCAGAATATACCAAGGTCCCCAAGAACTCCCTCTTCCCTTCTGAGAGTGATGTCCCTATGACCTAATGACTTCTATGAGGTCTTACCTCTTAAAGGTCCTACTACTGGGCTGGTGAGATAGCTCAGCAGACTAAGCACCTGCTTAGGCAAGTGCAGGGACCAGGGTTTTGTTTTGAGGTGCTGGAGAATAAATCCAGGGTCTTCACACTGGGCTGTATATTCAGCCCTTCCATAATTTTTTTATTTCTAAATCTTGAATCAGGGTCTCACTAAATTGCAGAAACTAGACTCCAATGTGCAACCCTCCTGCTTCAGCCTCCCAGAGTGCTGGGATTACAGGTACACGTCACCACATTGGGGTCAATTTACAGATGTTCTTAACTTTTATTTCTAAACTTGGGGAAATGTGCGTTGGAATGAAATGTTAGGCTGCTTAACAAAGGATAGAAGGACATCCTCTTGGTCTCAAGTCACCCATGTAGATACTTGTTCCCAGAAGCTTTCTACATATGTCTGCAGAGGAAGCAGGGAGTAATCTCTGAGCCCCTGCACTGACTACTGTCCCCAGAGGATTGATGCCAGTGCACCAGGCCTAAGCCGCCCGCCATGAACTGGGTTATCAAAACCCTGTTGCCAAGTAGAATCAGTTTTTATGAAAGTAAGCTTGACAGGGTCCTGAAGGCACAAATAAGTGTCACCTGCAGGTGGCTGGGGCCTTATACATTGTCCCTGCTTCATCAATGTAACAGCACCCCAAGGAAAGTCTCCCCAGAATCCTTGGCCAGGACAGGAAAACCTGGAGACTCGCACTGCAGTGCCTGTGATAAGCTGGACCATTTCTAAATAAAACTCCGCGATGGCAGGTTCCAGTACGAAGGGTGGGGAAGAGATGGCTCTCATGTATGCTGCTGTTCACTTTGCTTGGAAGGAAAAGTGAGGCAAGAAGCTCTTCCAGGGCTGGGGATCTATCTAGCTCAGTGACACAGCAACTGTCTGGCAAGTGCAAGGTCCTGAGTTTGATTCCTGGAAGAAGAGGAGGAGAAGGAAGAGAAGGAGGAGGAGGAGAAGGAAGAGAAGGAGGAGGAGGAGGGGGAGGAGGAGGAGGAGGAGGAGGAGGAGGAGGAGGAGGAGGAAATATTCCAATTCTAAAGCTGTGGCAAACAACCTGGCCAAACAGTTAAGAATTTGAAAAGAGGAAGTTTAGACATTTGGTGACAGAGTAGTTAGAAGACATATAATGACATACAGCATTTAACTTCCAGAACAGACCCAATTTGAAAATTATTGTTCCTCTAGTAAAAGGAACTCCTCTGAATTCCCCACTGCAAAAAGGATCTTATTAATTAACTGGATGTAATAAAAAATAAAAACAACCAAACAAAACTTGTAAGGGCTGGGGTTACAGTTCAGTGGTAGAATACTCGCCTGGCATGTGAGGTCCTAGGGTCAATCCCGAGCATCACAGAAAAGAAAGCCTTCCAAGTCATGGAGTGGACAAGGCTGTCTACTCTGTATGTGATAGTTTCTTTTGACTTAAAATTTTCAGTGCCCACAAAAGGAATGTGCCACCCACTGTGGGGGCTGTTGGCCAGTGGGCATGTCCCTTTGGAAAGGGGCTATGTGGGATATGTGTGAGGGCTAATTCTATCAAAGCAGAAACTTTCTAAAGAAGTGAAATAGAAGAATTAGAGTACTGAACAGGAAGAGATGACCTGGTAACAGTCTGGCCCTGTCCGGTGTCCCTCGGGAGTTTCACCCACTGTTGGGTGAACAGGCCTAAAGGGGGCTAAGCCTCGAAAGTGGCCTCTGTGTCCATCAACAGATAAAATGGATAAAGAAAATGTGATATTTAACTTGGGTCATCTTTGAGGCCACAATGTTAAGTGCAATAAATCAGAGACAAGCTTAAATATCACGTGGTTTTGCTTATATGAGGATCCCAAAATTTAAACAATGAGCACAAATGAGGATAGCAGGAAGTAGGACAAGAGAGTTTTCTCAAATGGAGATCAAGCAAGCAGAGGAGGAGGGAGGGAAAGACAGGAAAAAAGCGCGAAGTGGTATCACGTACACGAACCAACGCCCACAAGGAATGCAAACACTGCGACCTGCAAATGTGTAATCATAGAAAATATAGACTGAAAACAAAGTGTGGTGTATGATGCTGCTGCAGAGAAGAGTCCTGGCAAATTATCAGCGCTGCCCTGTGAGGCCCAGGCCAGCGTGGGGACCAGAAGTGGAACTCAGGGGCTCTCTTCCGAGCCTTCTCCTCCCTTGAGCACTCTGAAGGTGGCTTCAGAGGAGTCCGCTGCAATCTCGCCTACAGGCAGGGTAGTGGCAGTGTGGGCCTGCCGGAGTGGGAAATGACTTCGTGCTGAGCGGTGAGTCTCATCTGCGCACGGCCCAGTGGGGAAACCGGAAGTGGGGACCGGAAATCATCCGGGGCTGGGAAAGAAATGCTAGGTGCAGCCTCTACTTTTTGCACCATGTGGGCATGTGTCAATATTTTAATTTGCTGTCTTTTTTTCTTCCTTTTTAATCTTTCTATTATACAAAGAATACATGATTAGGGTCCACTTTACACTGAAGCCCAAACGGGGTAAGGAAAAAGGACATGGGGTCGTGGCCCAACTGAGGGAGGAACGGACATTGCTCAGAGATCCCTAGCATAGGACTTGACAAAGCACAGGGCGCCGAAGTAGCCCTCTTTGCAAAAGGAATGAGTGAAGTTTGGGCCATGTAAGGAATAGCTACATTTTCTCAGCCAAACACTAGGTGCAAATGGGGATGCACAGATGAACCTCATTTCCTCTTTTGGCTCTCTACCATCTAAATTCATTCCAAATTTCGGAAAATCTATTATGTGAGCCTGGGCACGGGGCAAGACCAGCTAGTTTGGGGGCACACGATCTCAGCTCTGCCAGCTGGATATATATCCACCCACCACCTGGACGGGGCCCTATGTCATGGGCCTAGGACTAGAAGTCAAGGCACCTAAACCGGGTTGTTCTCCAGGTGAGACTGGACCATGTGGAGAGCTTAGTTCCAACTATGTATCACCATCCCTGGGAAGCAGCAGCGTGGAGAAGGACTGAGAATTACACAGATCATCCACAACTATATTCCTTTTATTAACATTAATCACAGTCACGAGGTCTTATTCAGCAGAAAGAGCAACTGGCATTATGTAGAACTACTACAAAGACATAAAACGAGGAAACACATATACACCAACCACCAATCCAGCTCATCCCAGCCAATCCAGCCTCTGAATGTGTCTTCAGCGACCATCCATCAGTGCTTTGGAAGAACATATGCAGATCCAGCACAAGGTTGGCTTTCACGGGCTGAAGGCATTGGCCGAGCAGGAGGTTCACCCTTGGAAGCAACTGGACATGTAAACTTGGAGAGCAGGAATCGATAACATGAGCCTGAATGCTGGCTCTTTGGGCTGGCTGACTTCTTGGAAGAATCAGCTCAAAATTCCCTCAGGCTCCTCTGACCAAGGAGAACAGAGGCCTATGCTGTGCTGAAGCAGACAGGTCCTGTCCCCCTGGCTGGAGAAGCAATGTGTAGAAGTGTACACTGCCTTCTTGTCTAGCTCCAAACACTCTTTGTGGTCCTTTCAGAATAACTTGGCTAAAATTTACTTTAAGAGAGATGTCAAGATATCGTTCTTCTTTCTACCTTTCTTCCTGTTCCATCCTAAGCCCTGTGGCCAGACTCCAGCAAAGCCCATTGCAGCTGAAGGGTCTTTGGCTGGGTGATAATTTAGCAAATGGTCAGCAGGGAATGGGCCGTTGTAGGCTCCAAATGCCCTTCCTTCACTTAAGTAACTCCTTGCGTTAGCTAGTGGAGAGTTTGAGTTCTAGCAGTTTGCTTGTATTCTCAAGTCTCCTAGAAAGATGGAACTTAAAGGCTTCAAAACATGAATACCTCGAATTTGGGAACCGACACTCTCTTCCTGGAGCCCACCAAGAACAGAGGCCCCTGCTCCAAGCCATAGTTCTCTTTTCACAGGGTTCCCTGTGTTCACAGTTGTCCTAATTTTGGAATCCCTTGAACATCAGTAATACAGATTTGTGCCTTACAGAAAGAAAAGACAAACAGACTGGTTGACTTCCCTTTGTCTGTGGCCTCTCCCATGCCCACCTCTCTGGGGAGGAAGAGGAGGGCACATTGCTCTTTGGGCTGGCTCGGCTTTGGGAAAGGGTGCTGTGTTCACAATACTCTGGTTCCTGTACTCTAGGTGGGCAGAAGAGCTGCCCAGAGGGAGCAGAAGGGGGGCCGCCGATCTGCTCTGAGCCCCAGGCTCAAGTGCTATGGAGACTGCTCTGGGTAACTCACTTCTGTGGATGACCTTGAGGAGCTGCCACTGCGTCTAGTGAGGGAGACAGGGAGGAAAGGACAGAGTCCCCTAATCTGTACATCCTTGATGATCCCACCGAAGGAAGATTCGTTCCGTGGGCAAAACAAAACCCTGTAGTACCATGATACCGTAATGAGATTCTAAGAAAAAGCCAGTGTCTCCCTCAAAAGCAAAGTAAAAAATGGTCAGATGATCATCAGAGTGGGTCCAGAGAATGAGATGGAGAGGAAAGAAAGGAATAGGGTTTTAATTGCAAGAAGGAGGCTCGTGGTCCCGCAGAAGTCTGGTGCTGCCTTCCCTGGGGTCTGAAGGGTCTCGGTGCTAGCCCAGCCCTACGTCCAGGGACATCATCACCACAAATCCCAGGATGGACGCCCAGGATGCCAGCTTCCCATTGCCACTAGGAGAGAAAGAGAGGGAGAACAGGAAGACCTCAGAGGGGCTCCCGAGACCCTGCCTAGACCAGAGGCCACCTCTGCGATGTTCAGCTCCAGAGAATTAGCCTGTAGTCGTCTACCTCATCAAGGGGACAGAGGCCTGCTGAGCCCACTGCTTACTACCACCCACGTCTCGACCCCCTGCTTCTTGCCTCTCTGTCAGGCCCAGAGGGCATAGGTGTGAGGAGACAGCCGTGGGAGGGTGGAGGAGGGGCAGAGAGGGCAGATGCAGCAGTGGGTTCCGGGTAGGGCTGTGCCGGGGCAGACAGCAGGGCGAGCCCCCTACCTGATCTGGGCTTCCGGAATGATGTCGTCCATGACCACGTAAACCATGGCGCCAGCAGCAAAGGCAAGGGCGTAAGGTAGAATGGGCTCCGCCAAAACCACAGCAACAGCACCGAAGACCCCGGCCAGGGGCTCTACCATGCCGCTCAGCTGCCCGTACCTAGGAGAGAGGAAACAGAAACACGGGCTGCTGGGGGGAGGGCCAGAGAGACACCCCATGTGCCCAGAAAACAGAGGTGCATCCTTCTATGTTACATCCGAGCATGGCGGAGCAAAGCCGGAGTCATGACATTCTCCTGCTCCCTCCTCCGCTTCCCTGTGAAATGACTTCGGGGGACCCCAAGCTCTATTTCCTTTACAGCTTTACATTTCAGACCATGTCTTTTAAAACTGACAGTGTTATTGAGACATAATTCACATACCACACGGCACACCTATTTAATGTGTACATTCCATGGCTTTTAGTATATTTACAAGGTTGTGGAAACATCACCACTAATTCCAGAACATTTTCATCACCTCCGAAAGAACCTCTGCTTAGCGGCGGCTACTCCTGGCTCCCTCCTCCTCGTGGCCCCTGGCAATCCCAGATCTAGTTTTTCCCTCTGCTGTTGACTATTTCTGCATATTGCGGATAGGCGGGGCCATACACTGCTGGCCTCTTTTTTTTTTTTTTTGCGGAACCGGGGATTGAACTCAAACCCTTGCACTTGCTAGGGAAGTGCTTATTCCACTGAGCCATCTCCCCAGCCCCTGCTGGCCTCTTTTTATTCAGTTATTTCACTTAGCAAAATGTTTTTCAGGTGCACTTAGCAGCACACATGCGTTGCATAGACAAGGAGCAGTCCACAGCATGGCTGGCTGCGCCGTTACATCTTTGTTCCTCAGAGGTGCCCTCATGGAAACACAAGACAGAGGGGCGGGCATTTCTCAAGCTGTACCTGGGCATGCACAGGGGTCTCAAGCCCCGCTACTACTCTCCCAGTTGGGTGGCCATGAAGAACTTGGGCTGCAAAGACAGTCAGTCCCCTCTGGTTCCATGTGTACTGGCAGCCTGCTCCTTGATCTCACCTGGATTAAGGTGAGATTTCTTCCTTGAAGAATCCCTTTATTTATGGGGGTAAGAATGCAAAGCAGCTTGAATTCAAATGTGCCCCGTAGAAGCTGCAGCACACACGAGCACCGAGAACGCCAAGGCAGCAGGTAGATTAACATGTGCACCCTGCAGGCAACGGGCACTTGCTGGAGGGATGCGAGGAGCAAGAAGTCAGCACAGCTAGAGTCAGGCATGGTGGTGCATGCCTGCAACCCTGGCACTCATGAGGCTGAGGCAAGAGGATCGCTGTGAGTTCAGCCACATACTGAGTTTGAATACAGCCAGAACTACATAGCAAGACTTTCTCAGAATGAAGGAGGAGGAAGGGGAGGACAAGGAGGAAGAAGAGATGGAGTAAGTGGAAGAGGAGGAGTGGAAGTAGCAGCAGCAGCAGCAGCAGCAGCAGCAGCAGCAGCAGCAGTACTGGCTGGACAACCTTCTTGCAGTGGGCACTTGGCAAGCCACGCTGCCTCCAAGCCTCAGTCCCTCCACTTGGAAAGTGGGGATGAGTGATGTCTCCCTGCCTGGCTTCTCAGTCGAAAGCGCTGTAGGCAGCTAAATTAGACAGAAATCTTATAGGCAAGCAGATGGGGCTAGGCCCTCAAGGAGGCAATATGGAGAGAAGACCTTGCAGGGAAAGAGGGGCACTCCTGCTGTGGGCTAGACCACAAGACCAAAGATGGAACAAATATAGCCACATGCCTCCCTAAGGGTGGGCATCAGGGAGTGATACCCTAAATAGGTATCAGTCACCTTGAAGAAGCCAGGAAGAGTCACTACGCCAAGCCCCTTCAGGAAGAGCCCCTGTTCCGTATTCATGCCTGCTTGCTACATGACTCCCTTCCCCGTTTGGTCCTGGATTTAATCAATTTTACCTGAGCAATGGTGCTTGTGATCTTATTGTTTGAACACAGTTTTGTCCCACCTCATGTGTGAGTTCTTGTGTTTTCCACCTTAGACCTGCCTCACCACATGATTTTGCTCTATAAAATTCTCTCAAAAAGGCAGATTCCTGGGCAACCCATTCAGGGCCCTTATGTTCTTCTCTTGGATAGAAACTTTCTTTCCCCCAGGAAATATATTCTACTCTTAACCTCCATTGTTCCTGAGTTCATTCTTTGGTTTTGGAGAACACGAACTCACCCCAGGCATCTTTCAGGTTGGGCATCTCATTCCCCTCTAGCATTAGGAGGCCTTGTGGGGTCTGTGAACTCCTCTTACCCTCCGCCTCCCCTGATCCCCTGGCCCCGAAGCATGGGGGAGACGCTGTTTTTCCTGGGGAGTCCTCCAAGGGCCAGTGCTGACTGGCTTCCTATGCTTTTTTTCACAGACTAGCAGAACTAGCGACACTTTGCTCCATACAACTCCTGCCTCGGGTTTGTCACCCCAGGAAAATGAGGATTTGCTGTCAAGCCTGGAACAGGAGTGAGAGAGGGAGCAAAAGGTTTTATCTCAAGGAATGGGTGCCACCAGAAGAGCTCAACACCTTCCCCTCTTCATCCTGGTGCTTCAGCTGTAGAAAACAGCAGTCACAGTTGTTTTATTTACTTTCACATAAAACCCACACTCTGCGAGCACCCTGCCCTGTCCTTGCCCAAGTCCCCTTCAGAGATCACAGAAAGTGGAAACAAAATAAGCGTGAACAAAGACTTGCAAATCCTGAGGGCCTAGAAACATGGGCGGCATTCACAGCCGTTATCACGGGACCTTCTAAGTGCTCTCAGCAAGCGTTCTAGGCAAGTGATTATTTTAACCAAGTATCTGAGGCCCGCAGCACTGACGCAGGGCAGCAAGCCTTCTGCACATCGGGGTTCCAGTCTCAGCGTCACCACTGATGAGCCAGGCGACTCAGGATGGTCACCTACTGCCTGGCCACAGCTTCTTCTTTTGCAAACGGGACATGGATTTAGAAAGGGAGCAGACCAGAAGGACCTCAGAGAAAGGGAAAGTCAGTGTGTACGGTGGTCATCATCGCATTTATACTGCGATGATGGACAGGAGCTATTAGGGTGACTCCTGGGGCCAGGCTGTGGCAGTGGGTCAGCTGCTGCGTGTGATATTTAAAGTAGATGAACCCCAGGGGGAGCTAACCTGACACGGATGCGCATGGTGTGCGGTCCACGGAGGGGTGTGGAAACACTCCAGCTGGGGTGTGTAGAGGGAGGCCAGGAGGTGGGGTTTTTCCTAAAGGTTCCCCAGCCTTGGGGGACAGTATTCATCTGTGTTAGGGGTGCTTTACTAGCAGCCCCAGGCTGGCTTCCAAGAAGCGAATAGTCTTGCACAGAACACAGGACGGGAACCAAGCACCGATATCAGACACCGCCCGGCGTCCGAAGCCGGGATACTTACCAGAAAGCTCGCCAGGTGGAGAAGCCCGCCCCTCGCAAGGGGAGGCTGACGGCCAGGCCCTCTGGGAAATTCTGGATTCCAATTCCAAGGGCCAAATTCCTAAAAAAAAAAAAAACAAACCAAGAAGGCATGTGAAGCTCTTATCTGCAACTGTGAACTCACACAGACGGTGGCGGCTAGAACAAAAGCCCTTCTGTGGTGTCAGGGAGCTGGGTGGAGACCTGTAACAGGCGGAGGAGAAAGGTAGGGACCCAACGTGTAGGTGGAAGGCACAAGTTGCCGGAGGGAGTGACACGGATCTCTCTCCGGATCACCCTGTCCTGGGCCAGTGACAGCATCTTCAGGGTATTAACAGTCCAGCAGAGGACACTCTGGCTAGGCACTGGGCTGGTAGCACTGCTCTGCTCAAACCATTTTACTTTCATACCTTGTCTACAAACCGGGGACAATGTCATCCACCTTGATTGGCTGCTGTATGACCCAGTGACTCAGTGCTGCCTACACCATTCATATAGCAAGTGCTCAAAATATTTTAGTTTCCATCTGTGGGACACCCTGATGGGTATATAACATTTAATCCAGAACCATGTGCAGAAGTGGGACCAGCAGAATCAAGGGTGAGGCAGATTGGGCCCGGGGCTGGCACGGCCACTGCATTTCTGGGTGGGGCTCACCGTGGTCTTCCGGCCTCTGTTACAGAGGGCTGAGGGTGTTGTGCGGTTGGGCTGGCTGGTTTTGAAAGCCTGCTTTGTACCCAAACCAGGAATCGGCATGCAAAGGCAGGGCAAAGCAGAACAAGACGAGTATACGTCCAGCACGTGAGTGAGCCAGGAACACGAGCCGTGCATACAATTATGAACTCAAAATAATCATGCGAAGAGCCCCACTGGGCATGCTACACACATGCATGCTGCAACTAAACGTTAAACTCACAGGGGAAGCTGGGGCGTGACGGGAGGAGACCGGTCAGGCTGGGTGCTCCGGGAAGGACATTTGAGACCATCTCTCCCAGCATGATGATGCCACCTTGCTGAGCCAGCACAGGGGCAGCCCCTCCAAGGAGGGCTCATCTATCTGATCAGCAAGGCCTCAAGGGCATGAGAAGCTCATCACGTGGCTGTAGCCACGGCCTCTGTTCAGTCTCTAGCACAGAACACCGGGGATAATCCCCAGTAGGTCATTGTTCTTCTAGTACTGGGAATTAAACTGAGCTCCATCCCCAGCCATTTTTGTTTTGAGACAGGGTCTCACTAGGTTTCTAAGTTGCCAGGCTGGGCTCTCAGTGTTGAATATTTAATCCTCGCTTGGTCTGAGGGCTACAGCTCACTGTTTGGATTTATCCCACCACCAGGCACATATGTTTCATGGTGGGGGGTTCACTGCACTTGTGCTGCAAATGTGTAACTCTGCCACTGTGGTGGCAAAGCAGCTGCTGACAATACATTAACATAAATACAAACACGTGTGGCTGGGTGCCAATAAAACTTTATTTGCACAAACAGGTGGTGGCTGCAGAAAGGTTGGACAAGATAGAACACAGACCTGGGCAGGCCCTGTCTCCATTTAGGTTGTCATTGCTATCCACATAATGGAGTTGGGGGCAGTTGGACTTCTCATGGCCAAGTTTGGGGTCCATGGTGGGTTCCACTGAGATTTCAGAGGACAGCTCAGGAGGCTGGAGGATAATATGAAGTGGGGTCAGACTCTGGAAATGTCAGTGGAACCCAGCACAGGGACAGAACGTGGACACGAAAAGTTCAACTGTCCCAAAAAGAAACCTTGCAAGGGGCTTTAGGGCAAAAGTCACTATTCTGTTGTTTGCTTTTTAAAAAATGTACTACAATGAAGCAGGAGGCCCTGCTGGGCCATTTTACTTTTCTTTCTTTTCTGGGTTCCTAACCACTGGCATCCAGCTAGCCCATAGGGCAAGATAAAAGGATCGAGTCCCTTGCTCTGCAAAAGGTCTCTCTGTGGCCCCACCAGGGAGGGTGCTGGGTGCCCACCTCTGAGAAGGGGCAGTGTGTAGGATCCAGGCCAACCTTCTCATTCCTTTTGGAACTCTTGGGCCTCAGGTCTTGGACTAAGATCCACCTTAGGACACACTGCCAATCCCTGTTCAACACGCAGGACTCTAATAAGCCTACTCTAACCAGCCCCAGGCAGAACTATAGTGTGTTTTACAGACTTCCTCTGCCAGTTTTGTGCCTTAGTAGACCCTGGGCTCCTGGTCTGGGAGCAGGGACATTGGAAGTACATTGCTGCAGAAGAAACAAACCACAAAGGCAAGCTCTTGCCAACATTTCATTAATCCCTGCCCTATCTTCTCAGAGATTCCCCTCCAATGGGCCCTTCCCCTATCCTCATTCAGTACCCCTTGCAACATCCAAATGGTTGGGCAAATACAACTGGCTTTTTTGACCTTAGGCAAAGCTCCATGTCTAAGGGCTCCTTCCAGCGAGGAAGGACAAAGGCCTCAACCAGGCCTAGTGGCCTTTGCTGCCATGAACACTTGAGAGATGGTGGTTGGCTCATGGTAGATGGCCAAGGGCTGGAGACCATCCCCTTGTGCAGGGACAGGAGGCTGACTTATGCCAGGCATGACCAAGCAGTTGCCAGCTCAATGTCACCAGCAAGGCAGTGGTGGCGCTCCCTGTCCAAAGTCTGCCTCACGGAGCGGCGTTGGCTGCCGCCACCCGCCAGGCGGAGGCTTCCACAGCCTCCTCCACATCCTGTCCAGGAGCCACCATCCTGATAAGCAGCACAGAAACCCCATTCTTCTGCCCCTGGCAAGCCTCGTTACCTCTGCCCTGCCCTGCCCCTGGCATGGGCTTCCAGCCCAATGGGTGCCACACCCTGTGGATTCTGACAGGTCCTTCTCCAAGGGATACTGCTGGACAACCTAGGAAGGCCCTCTGGTACACTCTTGGGCTTCTGTATTCCAAGCAATGACTAAGACCCCTGCCTCCCTGCTGTCCCAAATTCTTACAGGTCTTTCCTTAATTTGCTTCTTCTCTAAGATTCACATGCACAGTATGATCCAGGCACAGGCCCAGCAGTGTCCACTTGCCTTGCTATATGCCGGGCATCTGATCAATTTCAGGTAGGCAGCAGTGGCCCAGTGGAGGAGCCCAGACATCTCTATGCCCTCACCTCCTTACCACCTACATTGGCTCTGCACTTTGACTGGCATTAATGGTTCTCAGCCCTGGATGCCCACTTCGGTCACCATGGAATCTGATGAACTGCAGCATTGGGCCCCGTGTCAGACATAAAAGTGTGTGGCAGTGTTAAGAATCCCCTGCCTTGGGGGCCTGCTGATTAGCTCAGTTGTTTAAGTGCCCGCTTATGCAAACGCAGTCAGGGGCAGGGTACTGTGGTTTGATCCCCAGCTCCACAAGCCTTACCAGACTCACCCTTAAGGCAACCTGAGCCATTAAAAAAAAAAAAAAAGTCCTTCTTAACTTTTGGGTAGGCCAAATAGCTCAGCAGATTAAAGCACCTGCAAGGAGGCACAGGGGCTGGGGGTTTGATCCCCGGGCCTGCCATGCTGGTTCTGCCCCCAGGGTGTGCTGAGACAGTCACTGAGATTGGGCATGGTGGCATGCACCTGTAATCCCAGCTCTTGGGAGGCTGTAAACAGGGGGATCACCATGAGTCCAATCTAGTAGTGAGAACCTGAACACGCTGTAGACTCATTCAGAAAATAAAAAAGCAAAAAGAATCCCCTGCCTAAGATGTCATCCAAGGAAAGGAGGATGGAGGCGGGGGCCACCACCATGGGCTCAGAAGCGCCTTCCCTGCCTCCCCAGCACAGGCTGGGAGCCACGCGTCCCAGGGGCCCATTAGCAAGAGGGTCTGGAACCTGCAGACTGGGTGCTTGCTGTACATGAAATCTAAATTAGGAAGCTGTGGAGGGGCCCTGGGAAGAAAGGGTGCAGGAGTAGAAAACAGATCAGCAGGGTGACAGGTGCATGGGTACTAGTGCTGCAGCCAGGGGCAAAGGGACGGGGGGAAGGCTTGGAGGCGACAGGGGCGGTCCTGGGCAGGAGCTTGGGCTGGCTCGGGAGCAGAGGTGGCCTTGACAGGCTGGCAGGGGAAGTCTGTGAAGAAGGGAGCAGTGCTGTGGGGGACGCCCCAGTCTCACTGGCTCCCCCTGCAGCCCTACTGTGTGCATCTCCTTGGCCTCCAGCCTATCCAAGGGCACCATGCCAGCCTTTCCGGCAGCTCCTAGAAGCTCTGGGAAGCAAAGCCTCAAATGAGAGGTTTCCTTTCCAGGATGGGCTACAAAAATCCCCCACAGCAGTGGAAAGCCAGAAGGAGCAGAACCAATCAGCTACCTCGCTTGGGAGCATGGTGAAGCCCTGTCTCGCTCCTGCCCAGCAGCGGCACAGTAAAGGGAAAGGAGGAGGCGGGCGCAGAAGGGCCCTTCACGGAAACCACAGGCTGCCCCTCCTGTGACCAGCCAAGCCCCAAGGTGACCTGTCACCAGACCTGACCCAGAGCCACAAGGGAGGGGATGTTGTGAGAAGGGCCAGGAGGGGGCCTTCAGGGAAAGACAGGGAGGAGGCCTAGAGGTGGGGTTTAGGGGCAGAGTGTGGCTGGGGCTGCCCCAGGAGGCCCGTGCTGGGAGGTGAGCCAAGGGTCTGCCAGGGTGGCTGCTCTGCGGAGGAGGCGAACTTCTCCTTTCCTTCACCTTAGGAATAGGAGCTTGCCAGGGAGGAGCAGGCTGGAGAGGCAGGGACTTAAAGTTCAGTGTTGGTGTTTTGCATGGGGATTGTAAAGTCGATTTCCTTCCTTTCTCTGGTTTCTTAAGTGTTGATGTCAATACCAAGGGGAAGGCGGGGTGGAAGCAGGAAGACAAAACACACTCATTCCTCTGACTGGGGGAGGAGGCGCGATGGTTGGTAACCCCAGGCCTTTGTTATTGTGTGCATCAATGTGCTAAAGATCTGGACTTCCCAGAGTGCGGCGTGACTGCAACAGCACCCCGGGTGCCCAAGTGCCCCAGTTTGTCCAGGGACTGTGGGGTTTCCCGAGGTGGTAGCACCCAAGGGCAGGTGGCAGAGGCAGGGACAAGTCACCATGTGAGTCTGACTGAG